ACGGGCCCCCCTGCACCCCTAGACCAGCCCAGCCACAGGCAGAACAAACCCCCGGGGATTAAACGTACTGAAACCTGCAGCCGCACGGGCCAGGCTGGAGCTGGCACAGCCGGGGCGGTGGGTCGGGTGGCCGGTGCATGCCCGGCCCCAGGTGCAGGCTCTGTCACCTGATGCCCGTCCCCGCAGTGCCCCAGGTACTGAGGAGCTGCACTGAGTTCGTGGAGCAGCACGGGGTGGTGGACGGCATCTACCGCCTCTCCGGCGTCTCCTCCAACATCCAGCGGCTGCGGTGAGCGGAGATGGAGCGCGGGCAAGAGGGAGAGGGACAGGGATGGAGGAAGGTTGGGGTGGAGGCAGGATGGGGATGGGACAGGGATGGAGATGGGATGGAGGTACGAGGGAGATGGAAACAGGAGCAGACAGGATGGAGATGGAGACAGGAAGAGGTGGAGGTGGGAAAAGGCGATGGGAGGGAGACAGAGATGGGGAGGGAGATGGGAGGGACCAGGTGGGATGGAGACAACAGGGAGATGGAGACAGGACTGAAATTGGGACAGGATGGGAGGGAGACTGGAGGGTGATGGAAAAGGGACTGATGGGAGTAAGATGGGAGGGAGTTGAGGATGGGATGGCGATGGGTCCAGATGGGATGGAGATGAGGGAGATAAAGACAGGGCAGAGACAGGACAGAGATGGGACCAGATGGGAGGAGGTGGAGAGGGACAGGATGAGAGGAAGATGGGAGGGAGATGGGGTTGGGATGAAAATGTCTGGGCTAGATGGAAGGGGGATGGGACAGTGATGGAGATGGGGCTGGATGGGAGGGAAATGGAGACGGGATGGAGATGGGACAAGATGGGAAGGAGACAGAGACAGAACCAGACGGGAGGGAGATGAGCCACAGACAGGACCAAATGGGATCAGATGGGAGGGAAACAGGAGGGAGATAGAGATGGGACAGAGATGGAAGGGAGATGGAGATGGGATCTAGGTGAGAAGGAGACAAGGATGTGAGGGAGACAGGACAAGATAGGATGGAGGGAGAGGGAGAGGGAGACAAGACAGAGATGGGAATGGGATGGAGAGAGGACCAGCTGGGACAGATTGGGGATGGAGTCAGAGACAGGATGGAGATGGGACAAGGTGGGAGGGAGACGGGGATAGGATGGGGATGGGAGGGATATGGGAAGGAGATGGGGACAGGAGCAGGGTGGGAGGGAGATGGGGATGGGATGGGATGAGATGAGATGAGACAGCAGGGAGAAAGCAGGGAGAAGGGGATGGGACAGAGATGGGACAAGATTGGAGGGAGACAGGGATGAGATGAGATGAGATGAGATGAGATGAGATGAGATGAGATGAGATGAGATGAGATGAGATGAGATGGGAGGGAGATGGGGATGAGATGGGAGGGAGATGGGAGGGAGATGGGGATGAGATGGGTGGGAGGCAGGAGGGAGACAGGGGTGGGATGTGGACAGGATGAGATGGGAGGGAGATGGGGACAAGATGGAGATAGGGTGAGACAGGAGAGAGATAGGGCTGGGCTGCAGATGGGCCGGAGCCAGCCCACACACAGTCTCCAAGGTGCTGAGACAGTCGGCGGTGCTGCCGTCCCCTCGTTCCCCCTTGCACTCCTCCTCCCCTTATTCCTCCTTGTAGTCCCTTTCCCTTGTTCTTTTATTCCCTCTTTCATTTTTGTTCCTTCATTCTTTTGTTCTTTCATTCTTTCTTTCCTTTACTTTTTCATTCTTCCTTTCACTTTCCAGCTTTCCTTGGTTAGTTCTTTCGTTCTTTTGCTCATTTCCTTGTTAATTCTTTCTCCGATTCTTTCTTTTCATTCACTGTTTCCCCTTCAGCCCTGAGGGTGCTTTATCCCTGCATGTCCTTGAGATTTCCCATCTTGGTGGGAGCCCCTGGTGTCCCCAGTGTCCCTAAGATCCTCAGCGTCACTGTATCCTCTGCACCCCCAGTGTCCCTCTATTGCCAATGTCCCCAACATTCCCAGTGTCCCTGTGTCCCGTGTCCCTAAGGTACCCAGTATCCTAGTATCCTGTATCCCCAACATCTCCAGTGTCCCTGTGTCCCCAGTGTCCCCAACATCCCCAGTGTCCTTTGTCCCCTGTGTCCCCAACATCCTCTGTGTCCCCAAATCCCGTGTGCCCAGCATCCCCAGTGTCCCCAATATCCCCAGTGTCCCTGGCACCCCCAGTGTCCTCAGCATCCCTGTGTCCTCAGTGTCCTGGCCACACTGCAGAAAGACCCAGCTGATGAACCCACCTCGTTTGCAGGCCACTGGGGGCATGTCAGGTCCCCAGGACCATATTAGGGCCATGTTGTGGGGGTCCCCGTGTGTCCCCCGAGCCCTGCTGGCAGGGAGGTATGTGTCCAGACTCCATTCCTGTGGCCTAGCTCTCCATGGGCTCGAGAACATCCCAGGGACATGTCTTGGGCACAGCCCAACTCACTAGCCATAAGAAAATCGTTGTGGCACTGAGGCCGAGCTAGGGCCGGGGCTCACGGGGGATGTGGGACAGCCTGGCGGGACCATGCCGTGCCCCAGCTCCGCGGGCATGTCCATCCCACCCCACAGCCCTGAGCTGGCCTGGGGTGTCCCCTGCGGGGACACGGGGACCTGATGAACCATGTGGCTCCCTCACAGGCAAGAGTTCGACAGTGACCGCTGCCCAGACCTGCACAAGGATGTCTACCTGCAGGACATCCACTGCGTCAGCTCCCTCTGCAAGGCCTATTTCCGTGAGCTCCCCAACCCACTGCTCACCTACCAGCTGTACGACAAGTTTGCTGTGAGTCCCACCGGCCCCCGTCCGAGCCCCGCCACGGTCCAGACCCTGCTGTCCCCCAGCTTCACTGGGGTAGGAGGTTGGACCTGGGCTGGCCCTAGGAGGTGGCATCCATCACCCTATGCCTGTCCCCGCAGGATGCTGTGGCCATCCAGATGGAAGAGGGACGCCTGGTGAAGATCAAGGAGGTATTGAAGGAGCTGCCAGCGCCACATTACAGGTATGGGCAGAGCCCTATGGGGCGGCAGAGCCCCAGCTCCCCCAGCCTGTCACGCAGGAGCAGGGGGACCCCACTTGTGCCTCTCCCAGTGTCCCCGCTGCTCCCTTATGCTCCTCCCTGCTCTGGTGCCTACAGGACCCTGGAGTTTCTCATGAGGCACCTTCTGCACATGGCGTCCTACAGCAGCCAGACTAACATGCACGCGAGGAACCTGGCCATTGTCTGGGCCCCCAACCTGCTCCGGTGAGCACTGCAGCTTGGGGACCCCCAGGCGTCATGCTGGGTGGGCAAGGGGTGGCCCAGGGGCATCAGTGCCCCAGGGGATGCGAGATGCTGAGCATGCCTGCCAGGAGCCTAAGACACCCTCTTGCACTGCGCCAGGTCAAAGGACATTGAGGCCACGGGGTTCAATGGCACAGCAGCATTCATGGAGGTGCGCGTCCAGTCCATCGTTGTGGAGTTCATCCTCACCCATGTGGAGCAGCTCTTCGGGGACGCCCCTCTCTCCGGTATGGCTCCGGTGGGCAACGACCAGTGGGGATCAGCCCTGCCTGGTGTTGGGACAAGCAGGTCCCCCAGGGGGGCATCAGAGTCCTCCCTGTGCCCTGGGGTGTGTGAGCATCTCCCCAGGGGCACCCTAACCCTGTGTGTGTGGCACCCAGGCAGTGAGCACAAGTCCCTGCGGAGGTCCCTGCTGCCTGGCGTGGGGCTGCCGGCGTCTCTGCCTGATGGCCAGCCCGTGCCCTACCATGTGCCGGCCATGCTGAACCAGGGTGACGGGCCACCGCAGATCCGGCCCTACCACACCATCATCGAGATCAGTGACCACAAGTACGTGACGCCTCCACCCCCTGCACCAGGCTCTCGTCTGGTGTCACCCTGTGCATCCTGTGAAGCCCCGTCCTGGTGGGTTCTGCCCTGTGGAGCCCATGGCCATGACCTGCAAGGCATGGTGTGCTCACACGGCCATGTACACAGGTGTGCTCACATGTGTGACCCTGCACAGGCACAAGCACACATGTAATGCAGTGCACATGGGCTCTCAAACATGTGCGTGCACATGTGCTCATGTACTTATGTACATATGTGGTCGCGCATGTAATCCTAAGCACGCACCATACATATATGCACATGCAAATATGCACATGCACACATGTGCACTCATGTGTGCTCACAAACATGCTCACACTCAGTCATATAAGCCACTGCATACACATGCTTACATATTTATATACGCACACGCACCCATGCTCACGCACGTAAGCCTACACACCCACACATTTGCACACTCACACCCATGCAAACCTCCCAGGACCAAAGTGCCCCAGGCAGCACCATGCGCCCCAAGAGCCCTGCTCCGGTCTAGGTACATGCATGCGCACGCGTGCTGCTGGGCTTGGGTGCCTGGACACAGCCAGACAGGGACCTCATATCCCCACTCCCTGCAGAAGGAAGGGCTCCCTCAAGGCCAAGAAGTGGAAGTCAATCTTCAACCTGGGCCGCTCAAGCCATGAGTCCAAGCGGAAGCTGGTGAAGGCGGAGGAAAAAGGTGGGGAGCCCTGATCCTGCCAGGACCCCTGGGCGGGGGGGGGGGGCGATGTCGCTCGGAGGGTGTCCTGGGTCAGTCCTGATGTGTCCATCTGATGGCCCCTTGTGGCCAAATCCAACCTTGTTTCCAGCTCGCAGGGCCCTTGGGGCCCTCTGCTGTGCCCTGGGGGCTGGGGACACACGTGTGACAGCGGCGGGACCCCCCGCTAGCCCACCCCTCTTGTCCCTATTCCCTTTTGCTTTCTTTTCCCAGAGGATAAATGTGGTAAAATAAGCTTGAGGCCAGCCAAGAGCATGGACTCACTCAGCTCCATGCCTTTCGTCAGTGATGGTAAGTGGGATGTGGTATACAGCCCTCACCAGGGATGCACTTTTTCCCCCTGCAGAAACCCCTGTCTGCATAAAGCCACCTTAATCTATGTCCCCAAAGCCCTCTCATGTGGTCACAGCTACATCAAATGGCCATAAGGGTAACCATGGTCTCCGATGGGGCCCAGAGCAAAGTGGGGACAACTGACGGGGCATTGCCCCAGTCCTCTGGGTCTGCAGCATCTCCTGGCTGGGATTGGACCCTTGGTGAAGGGAGGTCCAGGAGTATTGGGTGCCTCTTGGCCATAAATTTTGTCCTGGTTGGGTTTAGATGTCCCTCAGGTTGGCAAGAAGAGGTCGATAAAGCAGCCGCCGCAGCGCCGGGAGAGCTTTGACACCTGCTCCTCGCCCTCACGGGAGGAGAGTTTCCCAGAGCTGGATGAGAGCCTGGAGGAGAAATTCAAGGCAAAGGAGGAACCACGGACCCTGGAGTCGGAGGGCGAGAGCAGCACCAAGTCGGAGCCCACCACCCCCAAACCGGGCCGGGCATCACTGGTGGGGGTGGCTGCCCCAGGCCGCTCGCCCAAGGCCACCTGCAGCCGTGCTGAGAAGTGTGCAGGGGTCCACATCTCGGGCCCCTTCTCCGTTACTGTCCCCTTCCATATCACCTCCAACCTGTCCCGCCTCACCCGGGGGCTGGAGTGCCCGGCACTGGGCCACCTCAGGGAGCCCGCGGCCAGCCCTCCAGTGCCCACTCGTGCCACCGCCGGGGAGCCTGGGGAGCCCAAGCCACAGGAAAACCCCACGGGTGAGATGTGGCCGCGTGGGACCTCACACGCGGTCTGAGCAGGGACCTCGGGACGCAGGGATAGCCTGCGGGCCACCATGCTCAACCCTTCCCTCTTCTCCTTTGTCTACAGGGGAGGCGAAGATGGATAGCCCTGTGGACGTGGAGGAAACCCGGCTCTCCCTGGAGCTGCGGGACTCCTTTGCCTTCCTGGACAACCAGGACTCGTGGCTGGACTATGCTGGCGAGGGCGACACAGCGGCGCGGTCCCTGCTCGGAGATGCCAGCCTAGAGGACAGGGAGGGCTTCCCAGCCATAGAGGAGGGCATGGAAAGTGGCTTTATGAATGTAAGCTGAAATCTCTGTCCTAGTACTTTGTGGCTGGGCTTGCTGGAGGTACCATGCCACCTCTGCTGTCCCCATACCCAGGGGTAGAGAAGCTGGTGGCCAGGTGGTGACTGAGAAGGCAGGATGGTTACAGAGAGGGCAAGGTGGTAACAGAGAGGACAGGGTGGTGATGAAGAGGGCAGAGGTGGTGGTGGAGAAGGTAGGATGGTGACGGTGAGGATGGGATGATGGTGGAGAGAGCAGAGGTGATGATGGAGAGGGTAGGATGGTGGTGGAGAGGACAGGATGGTGACAGAGAGAGTAGGGAGGCATGGATCCCATTCAGCTGGCTTCAGCATGGTGCTGGATCTCAGGGCCAGGTTGAGGTTGGAGCTCAGGGCAGGCTCTGTGCCCCAGCAGAGGCTGGCGGTTTGCCCACGTAGCTGTTACCCTCCTGTCTGTTTCCATGCCCAGCCGGGGGAGTCCCCCGTGGAGCAGCCCGCCAGCTACTTGTCCATTGAGGAGTGCATGGACGAGGAGATGTTCTTCATGGCTCCCAGCGGCTCTGACGCCGAGGATCCCTCCAAGGACACCGACTCCGAGGACATGTTCCTCAGTGCCCATGATGACCTCAGCTTGCTGGCTGCAGAGCTGGAGCCCCATGCGGAGCCAGTGGGCCAAGCGCCGGCTCCGGAGCCGCCCGCACCTGCCGAAGCAGTGACCACTGACACCGCTGTGCTACAGGACGGCTTCCCAGCGCCGGAGGCGGCAGGGCTGCGTCCTGCCAAGGAGGATGCTAGAGGTGACGGGGAGCATCCAGGGGGTCCGGGTGGGGAGACGGCAGAGCAGGGTGCAGGCAAATTCCCAGAGGACGAGGGGCAGGGAGGAGGTGGTGAGGATAAGGCTCCTGATGACAGTGCCAGCCCAAGCAGAACTGACTCCAGCGCTGAATCCAGCCCTGGAGATGAAGCTGGACAAGCCCTGGGCTGCACAGAGGCAGGGCTGCTCCCCAATGTGCCAGATGAGGAAGTTGAAGAGGATGGGGCTGGCTCTGGTCCCCTTGTGGCAGAGGAGCAGGAGATGGGGAAGGCTCAACCCCAGCCATTACAGGGGGCCCCTCCAGCGGCCTCGCTGGAGCCCCAGAG